AATCATTACACTCTTCTCTTAAAAAAAAGTCAAAAAAGTCAAAAATCTAAAAAGTCATTCTCAAACCAAGCTTTTTAATCCAAGCTAAAATAATCAAAAAAATTAAAAAGTCAAAAAATTAACCCACTTTTCAAACGGAGGCAAAATATCACATGTACATCCTTTGAAAATATTAAATAATCACCTAAATTGAGATAGATACCTAGCGTGTATGTATCATGGTTATATGTATATCTAAACATTTTGTTTTTGAACTCATTATGCCTGTGTTTGGCAAGTAAGTTTGCAGGTTTTTTTAGCTATTTTAGTCACAAAAAATAAAATAGACTATTTTAGTCATAACAAATAAAACATCACATCCAACCCATAATCATTACATTCTTCTCTAAAAAAAAACTCAAAAAAGTCAAAAAGTCAAAAAACTCTTCCCAAACTAAACTTTTAAACCCAAGTTAAAATAGCCAAAAAAGTCAAAAAATCAAAAAGCCAACTCACTTCCCAACGGAGGCTATGTATATCTAAACATGTTCAGGCGGAGTGTGCTCCTGATGTACCTTATTCCTTTCACAAGTTGCCACGTGGCATGCCTCTCTTGGGACTTTTTTCTCTCTTTATTTTCAACTAATCTCTCTTAACAAACTGTGCTTGCTTGATGATGGATAGGCCGCCACGGAAGTAACCATTTATTTTTTAACTTAAAAAAGTCAAAAAGTCAAAAAACCCTTCCCAAACTAAACTTTTAAGCCCAAGTTAAAATAGCCAAAAAAGTTAAAAAGTTAAAAAGCCAACTCACTTTCCAAACGGAGGCTATGTATATCTAAACATGTTCAGGCGGAGTGTGCTCCTGATGTACCTTATTCCTTTCACAAGTTGCCACGTGGCATGCCTCTCTTGGGACTTTTTTCTCTCTTTATTTTCAACTAATCTCTCTTAACAAACTGTGCTTGCTTGATGATGGATAGGCCGCCACGGAAGTAACCATTTATTTTTTAAAAAAATCATGGCGATAGTAGGACCCCAATAGTAATGGGCTATTTACTTTAGAAAAATGCTCCGGACCTCATTGGATGACTCCAAGACACACCCACCCCCCAAATAAATTGTCATTGGTCAGAAATTTTTTTTTCTTCGATTACTAACCCCACGTGTCTGTAGGACGTAGAATAAAAGAGCAGGGGGATTGGGGATCTCTATCATGTTTGTTTATTTTTATAGCAATGACAGAGATTACTAAAAAATCTCACCACTAATAGTTTTAATGAGTTAAAAAATGTAAAAAATAAAAAATAAAAAAAAAAATATAAGAGAGAACCATCACATCAAAGGGAGAGCCACCTCATTAGTACTCTCCTAATACTCCTTTTTTAGTGCTCCCAAACATTAATCTTACTTTTAAGTACTTCAAAAATAAAAAAGAATTCTATGAAAAAAATTAGGGGCAGTTATGCATCGTTTCTATTAGTCATATTTATTTATTTACAAATTTTTACTAATAAATTTATTATTATAAATTTATTATCAAGATTGATAAATTTATCAATATAAATTTATTCATTAATATCCACAAGCTTTACTCATATTCACTCAATTACTTACAAGAATCTACCACCCTCTTCTACATACACAAGAACAAAAGAGACAAATAAGTTTATCACTAAAAATAAATTTGAATATGAATTTAATTTGCAACATATCTAGTTTAAGAGAAGGGGTGAGCGATCTAAAGAATCACTATTGTTTAGAGTTATTTGATGCTGATTTCATTATCTTAAACAAAGGAGGCAATGGTGATATGACGATTGTGTAAATCGGCAACGGTAGTAATATGGTATATAGATCGACAATGTTGGAGCTAGTTAGTAAACGGTGGTGGCATCTAAATAATGACGGTGGTTTGTGGGTTGAAGGCAATTGTGGCAACGGTGGTGGTGGATGGACAACGGCGACAACAATGGTGGTAGACAATGGTGGCGTGAATTTTTTGAAAAAATAGAGGAGAGAGAGAGAGGAAAGAAAAGAGAAAATGAAAAAAATTGATAGGTAATAATTTAATGAGGGCAAGATAGATATTATAGAACATATTAGTGCATTAAAAAAATCAATAAGCCTTAATGGTATTTGAATATACTTAATGAGAGTAGTTGGTAATTAACTCAAAAAATTATTACACATTTTTGCTTAGGTAAGAATGTTTTGAAGCTGAGACCATTCAATTAATTAAAAAAGGGACAAAATTAAAATTTAGTGATTCAACTATCAAATCAATTAAATTATGACGTCATAAATATATTAAAATTTATATAAAAATGTAAAAGTATAGGAATTAATTTTTTTTTTAAGTACCTAAAAATCCATCACTAAAGACATAAATATAAAAGAAAAACCAATAAAGGTTGTAATAAATTAATATGTTATTTACATATTTTTAACTTTTATGCATTAATTTTTTATAAAAATCAAATTCAATAGAGCAACATATCAACGGTGGCAATGCTTACTCTCTAACTTTTTTTTTGAAAAATTTATAAGAGAAATTACTTTAAAAACATTTGAAAATAAAAAAATAAAACTTGTTTTTCACTTTTTATCTTTGAATTTTTTTCTCCAATTATATTTGGGTTAATTACATTTTTCACCTTTGTAGTTTTATCAAAATTTCACTTTAATCCCTATACTTTAAGTGAAATTTGATCCTTCTATCCAAGTTAGAGGTTAAATTTAGGATGGCGCTAATAGCCCCTACCTTTTCAAAAATGCTAGAGATTTCAAAAATTTTACCAAATGTCTCACATAGGTATAGGACCCACATCAAACCCACATTGTGTAAGTCCCACAACCATGTGAGATATTTGGTAAAATTTTTGAGATCTCTGACATTACTCCTACCTTTTTATTAAAGACCCCTGTCTATTGACATTTTTTTAATGACAATTATAACCTCAATTAAAATTATTATAATGGACACAAATTGAAATGAAACACCTGCCCTCACAAAAACAATACACAGAATTGTACACTCAACCCTATCAAACCAAATTGAACACCCAACTCTCATAGTCTATCATTCTTATTCATTCCCATTGTGTTTTTAAGCACCTACATCCTCCATAATCTATCTTCTTCATGATAAAATCATTCTCATTAATCTATCTTCATCTTCCATTGTCTTTAATCTGTGCATTACATGATTTCCCACATTTTGATCGTTAACACTGTAGTTGGTTGGAGAATTTGGGAAGAGATTTGAAAATGAAAAAAATATGTGAAATATGAATAATATATGTTTATATCTCACCTAGTTTCATACATTTTTTTTATTTTTTTTTTTTAAATCTCTTTTCAAATTCTCCAACCAAACACAGCATAACAGTACACGATTTTGCAAATTCTGGGCCTGATATATGTTATATATCATGTATTATGTCTTGTTAATATTTTATGTTTATTTTGTGTTTGACTATTACTGCCATTAAAGCATTTTGCATTAGATTTTCTGATTCTTATTTTGCTGTTTCTACGCTGTCTTTTTTTTAAGAACCAAAATTGATGCCAGACTTATTAGCAGAAATCCATTCTTGATGGGGTTCAAACTGATTGATCATTTTTTTAGAAATATTCAACCTTGAATCATATATTCCAGGTCTAAATCTTTAAAGGGAAAATAAATAAACAAATAAAAGAGAAGTTAAAATGGGTAAGTGAGGGGTTGGTTTAGGGAAAACAAAAGACAACACTTTCGTGGGTTTGGGAGCAGAAGGGGAGGGCGGAAGCTGTTAGGCTATGCTTTAGTGAACGTCCAAATTGTTATAGGGTATGCAGTTTAGGTGAATGTGTAATGTTTTGGATGAGGGATAGTTTTAATATTATGTTAGAGTCCTTAGAAATTTTATTAATATTTAAATATAAGTGGGGGTTCAAAGAAATATGAGATTTTTTTTAAAAAAAAATAGCGGTGACTATTAGCACCACTCTAATTTAATAATTTTGAAATACTTGTCAATAATCTAAAATATACACGTAAACAAAATTAACATAAATTTAGACAAAATGATTAGATTAAAACTAAACTTAAAGTATATCAAACCAAATTATTCAAATTGAAAAAATAGGAAATAAACTAAAATTTAAGTCAAATTATAGAAGTAAAAAGTGTAATTAATCTAATTTGTTATTTTTTGGAGAGAATTAAACCCTAACTTTTTAATTATTTCAATTTCAACCCTCAATTTTCAAAACGGTGTCAATTATTACCATCCATTTGTATCAACTAATGGAGAAGTGCATTTTAAATATTTAACCACTCTTTCATTCACGATTGTTGATAATCAACTCATACCCTTATTGTCGTCCACCACCAGCCCTCCTCTTTTCCAACCCATTGTCTTCATCTCTGCTTCCCATGCACCACTACTCCTCACATTGCTAGGTCCATAACCACAACCACACCCCATTTCCTTTGGCATCTAGTAGTACTGGCTCCATAACCACAACCACACCCCATTTCCGTTGGCATCTAGTACCACCACCAACTTGACGGTGGTACTGGCACCAATCAAATTTCCTTCGCCATCCAATAGGTCTAACACCACCACTATACCGCATTTTCGTTGTTGTCTAATAGATGTAGGATGGTGTTATTCAACACCATCTCCTTCCATAATTACCACCTTCATCACCATCAAACCAATGTTGTGATAAGCTGAAACCCTAGATCCAATGTTGCGTTGGGTTGCTACAGTGACATCCGAACCCTAGATACTCTGTTTGAGATTTATTTTTTTCCGTGCCATTTGTTATTGTGTTGTAGTGTTTGATTGTGTTGTTCTTTTTTTTAAAAAAAAAAATTACTTTTTTTTGAAAAAAATACAAAAATCTGGTGTCAACGATTAGAAACACCACCTTAATCTATTGCCCGACAATATTGTCTTGTGGCCTTCCTACGTTAGGAATGGGATCAACAAAGGCGTCCCCCCAAGCCACCCAGAAAGGTACATCTAATCTCTAGCCAAATAAAGTTGCAAACCACCACAATAATTTTAGAAAGCTACAATGATATGGCAATCTCATAAAAAGAATAAATAAGTTTGAGACACAGATTTCAAGGTACCACCGTAGTCTGTAACTACAGGGAATAATACATTAAAAATAAATAAATAAATAAAAAAAAACCTAAAACTATAGATGTAAGCTTTCTTCGACCCACTTCGCACTAATTTGAACTGTCTGCATCCTTCAAAAATTTCACCTCCACAAAAAAGCCTGCAATTTTTTACTTAAAATGGTCAGAGACAGCATTCCAATCCAAGATCAGAAAGGTAAGAACAATTTTAACAACACAATCCCATTGATCTATGTTCAGAAACCAATAGCAAAGAGGCATCACATTTAGCAAATAATAAATCAATTAATGCAACCAAATAACAAGTGTTCTTGTTCTGTTAATTCCAGGTTTTGCTCTTCCCTTTCATAAGCAAAAACAGAAAGTTAATCCATAGCAAACAAAGTTATGTGCAGTCCAACAGTGTAAATTGATCTACTGAAGTTAGCAACACAACGGCACTACTACAAACCTCAGGGCATAAATATAATTATGTTACAATTTACTCGAGGATGTGAAAGCTACATGCCACTTTAAAAATGCTTAATCAATTTTATAAGTCCATACATAAATTAATAGACCAACAATGCCTCAAATGAACTAACCATACAATAATTACGTGTTGTCGTTTTTTTTGGGCAATAGATATACCAGCAATACCGATATTTAATGACATAACATCACATTACAACATCCTCAATCAAATGCATCCCTGTTGAACTAAGTATGCTAAAGAAAAGGAAAAAGAAAAATCAGAAATACAATTTAGGAAAATAAAGAAAAGAAAAATAGACCTTACATATAGCACATTCTCTACCACTAAACAGAAGTAGCAAGTAATCTGATTTATTATGGGATTGAAGAATTTGATGGTGACTACAAAGATAACCCTTAGTTACGGCCTGCTTGGTTGTTCTGGTTTCTTTGGCCAGCTAGGCTCTAAATCCAATCTCAAACTAATTCAAATAATTTGTCTAAAAACCACATATTCAAATTATATATACTAAGCATAATACCCATGCTTAAATAAGTAATGAATATTTAAATTTCAAATTGAATAATAATCTAAAGGAAAAAGTAAATTTTAACTATATCATCCACAAATATAAGGGTTTTTTTTTTTTTTTTTGGGTTATGTTGTTAATGGTGTACTCTAATCTATGAAACACGGACACTTCTAAAAAGGAGACGTATCTGTATCAGGCACCGATACTCTTTGGATACTCGTGGATACGCATCAGATACTTGTTAAAAATATCGGATACTTATTAATTAATTTTTCACTAATATTGAAGTATCATATACTTAATTTTGAAACATCGGATACTCCAAGTCACATATTACTTCTTTTACAAAATTATAATTGTAACATTTCTTATATAACATTGTAATATAATATAATTCCAAGAATAAATACAAGAATATTTTTTTCAATACTTTACTTAGTTCTTTGATAAGAACATAATGAGTTAAAAGTACTAGAATTTGTCAAATTGACATATCCTTACTATATCATGCATATCCCCTATTATAACTATATAGAAAGTAAGGATTATCAACAAAATATAACAATTGCAAAATTAAATATCAATAAATAAATACGCATGTAAACTCGCATATAATACTTTTGACTAGTGTAAAAGAAAAAAACATAAAGACAAGTTGTGAATTGTTCTATTATTGTAATACAAACATATTAGAACTAATATTGAAATGAAATATTTGTAAGACCCATTAAAAATTTAAGAAGTACACTAAAGTAATACCTAATTCTTAAAAATTAGTATTTCACATTATAAAATTATAATGTGGTTTATCAAATTCTTGAGATTATGTGTAACTCACTACTAATAATTTTATTTTTTACAAACATATCCTATCTGTACACACATACTATTTTTTTAGATTTTGTAGTATCATCGTTTCTGTATCTTGTATTTGTATCCATGCTTCCTAGATTCTAGGTTCTCAATAACAAATACATGTCATAATTTAATTTATAGGAATTAAGGAAAAAATATGATAAATTACAATAAAAAAAAATTATGATAAAATATAAAAACTTTTCGGCCTATGTAAGTTCATCCGATGATATAATAAACCACATTTCAATTTATCAATTGTCTCATTGTCCATTTTATAAAATTCAATCACCTTATTTATTTTGTAAAATTTAATTAATCAAAATTAGTTTAAATCAAACGGACAAAAAATGGAATTCCAGTGACCCCATTTTCAAATCACCCCTCAAATAAGACTCAACTTTGCAAGACAACCTCTAAATCATTTGACACTCTTCTTTGTATTGGTTCACCACATTCAACCCTTTTTTAAAGGTTGGGCCTATTCAAAATTTGGCTGACCCTAAAGCTATTCTCTTAGTCTAATCCTGGCATTCTAGACCATTTTTAATTTTATTTTTTAATATTCAACATTTGGCTGACCTAAAACTATTCTCTTAGTCTAATCCTGGCATTCTAGACTATTTTCAATTTTATTTTTTAATATTCTTCAAATGTTCCATATTTAAAAATTTAAGAAACTAACTTATTAAATAAATAAAATAAATTGAATTTGTGTTTAAAATAACTTAACTAGGCCAACCTATGGACCAACTTTTTTAATGATCAAGACCTAAGCCCCTATATTTGTAAGGTTGGATAGCTTGGGCAATTAATGGCTACCCGACTTGTAGTTGGCATAATTCACACTTCAAATAAAGGGTAATTTGTGTCATACATGTGAAAATTGGTTTTTTTTCCTTATTTGTTAATAGATTATGCATAATCCACACTTCAAATAATAATTTTATAGATTTTTTACAGTAACTCATAATCTTTTAAATATATACACATATATATATAGGCATGACTTGTGTTATGAAAACATTAATACCCTAGCAAATTACATATAGGTATGCACGCTCTGAAACATAGCACACTTCCAATCAAAACCAGTAAATTTAGTGATTCAAAATGATTCCAAAGGTTTTTTCCAATATATTTCCTTAAATGTTAACTTAGAAAGAAAAAAAAAATCAAATACAATGAACTAAAATCTAAGGTGGGTTAAGTTTAACAAGACAAAAACATCATAAATGAAAAAAAATTAAAAAAATTTATTAGATGCCTAATAGTTAAAAGGAATTACTCTAGAAGTACCTTAAATTATTAATTATAATATATACAAGTCTATCCCTATCATATCACATTTTAGAGCATGTGCCGTACTACGTTCCCGTTCCAGTTCCAGTTTCACATACCGGAACGATCCACATTCTCGGTACCATGATGCAATTATAAATATGTATTGACATAACCTTAATGATTAAAATATTGTGTGTTAAAATTTTACACAATCAAATAGTCTTCTAATAAGATTATGCCACATTTCTTAAAATTTAAAAGTTATATATTATTTACTCAAATAGTTCAATGTCAAGTGTAGGGGTGTGCAAAAAAAATGCAAACTCACGCCGACCCAAACCAACTAAAATTGACCTATGCAGTTTAAGAAGGTGAATGGAGAAGGTCTGATTGCTTGGATTAAATGAAAAAAATGTGAGTTGGTTGACACGTTTGAAAATTATCAACCATCCTATAAATGTACCCAACCTGTATGTATACACAAAATTAACTTATAATTGCTCTCACACAATCCCATTAATTAAATAACACACATTCCTTAATTTCATCCCATATTTTCCCCCTAATTTGATTGTTTTATATATTGATTTATGAATAGCATTATGCATTTAATTAATTTGTGATTGTGTTGAGATTTGAAATTAACGATAACTTTTTCTGGTTCAAAATGAGGGGGGGGAATAAAAAAAATGCTGACTATAGGCCGATGTTTTAATTTTTAAGCAATCCACCAAATAAATAAATAAAATATATTTATATATATGAAATTGGCTAACCTATTGGTCTCGAGTCTTGGCTAGAACCCATGCCTAACTATTTTGTTGGCCAAGACCTAACCTATGGAAAATAGGCTCCCGTATTTTTGAAAATTATGTTCATTATTTCCATATCGTATCATATTTGTGTCCTATGTTTGTATGCTTCTTAGATTTTTGAAAATTATGTTCATTATTTCCATATCGTATCATATTTGTGTCCTATGTTTGTATGCTTCTTAGCTTGCATGGTTGAGCATGCATGATGAGCTTAACAAAAGAGAAATAATTCCCAGGTATCTAAGTCAACCTAAAGACCACTTTAAAATCCATTCACTTCTATCAATATTCTTTAACCATATGAAATACCCTTACATGTACAATTGAATACTAGACCCATAAAACCACCCTTGTAACCCTTCATTTGGTAGCCACCAACTAAAAACAGTTAAAAATAAAATATAGAAATCCACACAAGCATTTCATTCCAAAAGCCAAAAGTTATATCTGTTATACTTTGGAAGATTTCAAAGTTGTGGCTGCCAAAAGTTAATTTTTCTACTTCTTTCTATCTCTTCCATTGAACATATAAATATACAACATGAGAAGTATCTTGTTAAGCTATAACAAATTAACAGAATTTCTTCTTTCCATTGATTTGTAGAGGATATCCAAAAAAATATTGAATCTCAGTAAATATAAGAGAAAATGAAACCAAAAAAATCTGAATTTCTCACTAAGTGATGGCATATACTGTGACCAAAACATAGATTTCCGTGTAAACATGATAGATCAAAGACAGAAATAAATGTCCAGTTATAAAACCAAAAGATACAAATTTGATTTGGAGACATCAATTTTGGAATTTGATCAAACCAATACAACTTTGACTTGAAGCCCACAATTACAATTCTATACCCATTAGTGCCCAAATAAAACTGAATACAAGAGAACATATACATCTAGTCATCAAACAACAATCTTTTTACCATCTTTCAAAGTTACCTAGCATGCTGAAATGGCAACCCAGTTACCTTCAACCGTTTATCCTCATTCTAAAATAATGCTGCTACTAAAAAAATGTCTCTTTGCTTCCACTGCTTCTCTTATACCTAAACCAGCCGTTTCCTTTCATGATGCCTTGCTCACCACCTCTGTCGTCCCTTCATCTGTGGATATTGATCTCTCTGAGGATATCCCAAGGAATGATGATGTCCCAACACCTTCTGAAAGGACTGATGCCATCCATATAAAGCTTCC